TGATCAAAATGTAATAAAAATAATAATGAATGGATATTAATTATTTTACATTATTATTATTTCAATTTGAATTTATTAGTAAAATGTGCGAGTATAGTTGGCTTCTGAAAAAAACCCATTCACAACTGAATGTGTGTACTTTTCATTTGAACAGCACTTGAAGCTACGCGTATCATAACACTTGAGATCTCAATTCCCATGGAGATCTCAGAACAGAGATATCCGAGAGAAACTTGATGGCAAGCCTCGATTGCACCGGGCGCCTAACGCACCCACCCACACTCACCAACAAAGTTGCCGATTGCGTCTCATCAGAGGAAAAGATCGTTTCCCTCTTTGCACGGCCGCAAAAATGCAAAGTCCATTTCCCGGAAAATTCTCTCGTAAAGGTACGCGAGAAGTTTTCGGACGATATTTCAATTTTATTGTCGACGCGCGGGGGTTTAAAGGAATTCCGATGAATCGAGCGAAAAATCCGTGGGAGCGGGATTTAAGCTGTGACGTATATTTTTCACTGCTGTTGCGCGGATGTCGAGTGCAACTTCTCGCGCCTTTTCTGCGGAGTATAAGTTGAAAAGTTGGCGACGGGCTCTTGGAGTTTTCTCTCCAAAGATCGTTCGGAGGGTTTTTTTTGGTACAATTGTGTACTATCGAGTTTTTACAATGTGGGAGGAATCAAACATTTGTAATCTTGAATCGGAAAATTTATAAGATTTTAGATACAGCTTACACTTGATTGGCTAACGTTAGGCTTATGAGATCTATGAACACTGTAAATTATAAAAGCAATATTTTAGGGGTTTTTAATCATTTTTAAAAATCAGTATTGATGCCAGAAAAAAAACACGTGGTGGGAGTAGTTTTGATTCAAATAAAAGTTTAATATGCCTATATTTCCACGTCATTTTTATGCCCACTTGTGTGTTTCTAATTTTATTGGGACTTGAAAGTTTTAATTATCAATATAATCAATGTGAAACTTTTTTGTTTCCTTATCAGAGGTTCTAAAGCTGGGACACTTTTGCTAGGACATCCTGATGAATTTGCAAGAATCAATAATCTCTACTATCAAACGAGGACCGTTCTTTTTACCACATAGTTTGAAAATTCATAGTTTTTTTGTACGCACGTTGCAATTAAACCCTATAAAAAAAATACCAGTGCTGAATCGACGCTGAAATCAGTTATAAATCACATAGTTGATTCTGTGTGGATTCCACGATGAACTAATGCTGATTCATCGTTAAATCAATGTTAATTTGGTGTCAATTTAACAACAGTAAAATTACAAACTTTTATCAAGTTCATTACTATTATTAACTTGAATCACTGCTGATTCTTTGTTAAATTAGTATTGATTCTACATGAAATCAACGGAGAATCTACATTGTAATTTACGACTGATTTGAGTATTGATACTTTTGATATGGAACATTTTACGTTTAAATACAAAGTGAAAAGGTTATTGTTGATATTTTAATGAAACCATGCATGTAATAAACATATGCAGTTTTCAGTAAATCTTCGATAAAAACATAATTGACAAGAAAATTCAAAAAATCCTCTGACACAACCCAATGTCGGAATTGACCAGGTGAAGCGGTCCAAGATAAAGCCGAAAATAATGAAGATACAGGTGAAACTGGTGGAAAAAGGAAGACGTCTGGCCAGGCGCCAAAGCGCAGTAGGACCTTTTTGCACCTACCGATTTGCGACTCAACGTCACCACCAATCGATGGCTTAGGAAAGTGTATCCTCGATTCCACCGAATCCAAGATAGTCGTTTTAGTACTTCAGCATGCGTTTGCCGAAGGAGTGTATTTATAGCACCAACAAGAATAATAATTACAATTTGACGCGCATGTTTCGAAGCTATATCCTATCATCGATCGTTCTGTTTTTCCCGAGGATTCGTTAATGCTCTGGTAAAGAGCGTTTACTTGATTATTTAGAAGTTGAATGTTTGATGATAATGTCTCGCGGGCACTTATACACAGACAATATCTTCGTTTTATCCGACATTAGTATTATCTTTGGATCACGTCCGGTTGAACCTATTAATAGCCGTGCAACGAATTTTCAACGATATTGACTGAATACTTTGAGCGTTTATTGATCATTTTTTTGTCACAACTACTCCAAAGTAGAGCTTTCGATTTTTGCTGGAGAAAATGGTACGACCATACAGAAATCATCTATTTTCTGTGTAAAAAAAATTTTGAACTCTATGTAAGGGTGGTGTGAGGGTGTGCAATCGACCATCTCTATAGGTATACAGATTATAACTAATTTATGGGGAAAATACATTATCCTTGATGATTTTTAATCGTACAAGTAACAAGTGTTGTTAATGCAAAAGTTACAGACCCTGATGAAATACGCTTTTCGACGACTCTCCTATGTTAAGTAAAAATGTTTGTTCTAAAATTCGATAAACGTGGAGAATCGCATATTTTCTCTTCAACGCTAGCGTTTGATATTCAGCTTTACAATGCCCCTTGTAAAGCTGAGGAAGGTTTTAGAGCTTTAAAAATATGACATTTTTTTTTTAACCTTTGCAACAAAAGAA